AAAAAAAAAAAAAAAAGAAGCAAACATAAATCAAGTGGGAGTGTGGGACTCAACAGCTAGTATGCAGAACACTGTTCATTCTGTAACACTGTATGTTCCGGGATGGGCTGGTGACACAACCTCTTTGGCATGCGTGCCACCTTATGACACCTGGTCCCACTGGGTCCCACGAACTTAGAAGATGAGGTTGCTTCCGTCATTCCGTGGCATAAACTCTTGTAGAGTCTAGAGTGTTTTTCGCATACTAGTATATGACATATATGAATTCCATGCAAGACTTCTGTGTCGATAGTTGGAAATGGAATTGACCTGCCACCAAATTCTGTTGGATTGTTTTGTTTGGGTAATTGAACCAGGAAAGGAAAACCCAGGAACCAGTGTATTATTGTTTGAAAATGTGAACCCACAACCCTTCTGATGTTTTCATTATCATCAACAAGACAACATGCATGTATTATTGGAAGGAGAGGAGGATGAATTGCACTCAAAGATGGCAAAAAATTCTTTGCCAACCTCTGAGTCTGATTCAAATACAGGTGAGACTACAGATTTTTTTTTGGAAACTTCCTCTGTCAAACGGTTTAAAGTTGAATACAGATGAAGTTTCTTGAATGATATATGGAAAAGCTGGTTATGGTGCGGTGCTGAGGGATCATGCATCATGGCCGGCTCTGTCATAGCTGCTTCATTTGGACCATCTCTATATATGTCGTTGTGCTAGCAAGTCGATCAATTGAATGCTTCTTTTGGTTTTGTAAATAGATGTGCTAACAGCTAGGGTTGCTCATTATTGCCTAGCGAATTAAGAAGGGTCTCTAGCTAACAGAGTCTGGTGTCTATGCCCCCATGATATCTCTGTGTAGATCATGGATGCTGCATGCAGTGACTTAATTAGAACTTGATCTCTGGTTCTGTTATGCTATTATAATTAGGTGTTTACCAAAAAAACAAAGAATAAGGAGATCTGAGGAAAATGAATTGCATTAAGATCATTGGTTTAACTTGATTAGGATCTTGGGGATTAAGTAAATAGAGATCACTTTTCAGGGATTCTCATTTCTGTTTGCATTTCCACAAGATGATCCCAACACCAAAAACAGAAGGAAAAAGGAGAAAAAAAGGTTTAGTCCACATGGTCCTAGACTCCTTAGCTGTGAGGTTTCTGATGAGAGTGCTGTAGAAGGTTTTTTTTGGTAATCATTTTAGAAGGGTTAATCAAATTTCTTTAATGCTTTTATTGAATTATCTAAAACCTCCTTGACTTCATTAATATTTCTTAATACATATTGCACTATTCAGGCATTTTAGTACATCCAAAATAGTGAAATACCCTTTAAATAACAGATTTTCTATAAATGAACAAAATGCCACTAACCTACGTATAAGAGATCAATTGAAATGGCAAATTTTATGCGCATGACGATGGCATATCAGTGTCAGGTATTGGTGCATCAAACATGACCAATGTTCAGATATCTTTGCAACTACTAGATAAATCAAATTAAAAATTGGGTCTGGACATATACCAATAAACAGACAAATCAATGTGCTTCACTGCTTCCATATTATTATTATAATATGTGAGTGCGATTTTGGATAACACAATGTTCAATCAGGAATACTTTCTCAAGCTTGGGAGACTATCTTCTTCTTGAATCCCCTTTCTACAACAACAAACTCTTCAATTTTTTGCTCCTTGAACTTCCCTTAGTAGTGGGTTTCTTAATACCTAAAAATAACAATTAAAATGAAGCTCCTGCAGCCAATCATAATCCAATAGGATACGAGTTGAGTAGGACTAGCTTGTTCAAATAAGTTATAAATATATAAGAAATATAAACTTGCATAGGAGTCTAAAACATATACATATCATACAACAATTTTATTAATAATACGTCAACCAATGTTTTCAGCTTCTTATTTTTATTGTTTTGTTTTTTTAAGAAAAAAGAGAAAGGAATTTATTGATAAAAAAACCAAGGGGGACATGAACCTTACCCCTTAAAACTAGTACAAAAGAATAGAAAACTTGTATAAAATAAACAAAGAAATGTAAATTTAACAAACATATAAAGGATAATAGCCTTTATTTGGCCTTGAAGATTTAGGCACTGGAGCTAGAGGCTTGTTTAGATCTTGATCCTTTTTGGATTCACAACCCATCTTCTTCCTTTGGACAATATGAAACTTTGATCAACACTATTATCCTCTGCTTCACACTTGTCAGGTCCCTCAACATTCCCAATACCTGAATCCCCATATATATATATATATGAGAACTATTATTCTCATTCATCACTAGATTGGGATTAGAATCTATCAAAATAACGCTCGTACCTAAGGGCATCATTAGTCTTCTCTTTTTTAAAACTTGTTGTTTATCCTTGTTTTATCTACAATCCTGCATGCAGTGGTATGCCCAACCTTGTAGCATTTTAATTTTCACAGTATGGTGGTAGGGCTTCATAGACTATCTACTACTGAAAATTAAACCATCTTTTTTCAGAGCCAATCCAAACTCTACCAGAGTGATGGGACTTTAGAAGATCAAGTTCAATACAAACCCTAGCCTGCATAGACTGAGAAAGAGTAATGGTAGTAGCTTGATCAAACTTGAGGATTGGACCAACCATCTAAGTAATCAATCCCTCCACATAAAAAATTCATAGGAAAATATGGAAAACTAATCCAAACTGGAAATATAGATGATTCTTATCTTGAAGGCTTCTCTCAACCAAATTAAGCTTGAGAAAGTCTTCCTCCTCCACAAAAAACGAATCAAGTTGTGCTTGGTGTCCAACATTAATTGTGACCCAAATCTTATTCTTTAGTAGAATTGAAGGATTTGCAAATAAAATCCTACATCAATTAATTCTAGCAATAAGGGTCAGCCATTGTCCCAATTCCTCTTCTAGGAAATTAAAACGACAACAAGTTCTCTCTGCTTGAGTGTTGCATTAACAACAAGAACATGGAGAGAAGGTTTTTCTAGAGGGATGAGCTTTGAAAGTATGGAGGCAAAAGTGGTTTAATTTCTGTGCCGGATGATCCTCATTGGGATTCTCCTTCACATTAAATTGTTATCATATCAATCCCCATTGGGATTCTCCTTCCCATTAAATTGCTTTCATATCAATGGATTTGATACATCATTGATAAATCCATCTTACATTTCTTCCTTACTATGAAAAACATTTAGAATATATAAAATAAATAAAGGGCTGCCGAGTGCACGAGGCTCCCGCCAATGTAGGGTTTGGGGAGGGATAGATGAGTGCAGCCTTAGCCCTGCACTTTTGTGTTTTCAAATTAGAATATATAAAATAAATTATCTTTTATTTTTCAAAATTTCCCTAATAACTAAGAAAAAAAATCATTTTTGGCACAAGTTTTCATTAGACTAATGAGTATAAAAGATCATTGACAGATACGTTTATAATTCTTTCCTGCAATGAAAATCATTTAAAACATATAAAAATCATTTATAATTTTTTAATAATTTTCCATAAGTTGTTGGGACACCCTATAGAAATTGTCAAAAAATTCAAAAATAAATCAGCATTTTTCCATATGCATGACTACGGTATAAATTGTATTGTTTTCATCAGGTTCCACATATCCACACCATTGGATACCTATATGATGACACTCCCCATATCAGGTGATGGTGTGGATATTTTAAACCTTGAACAAAACATGTGCATTGCATGGGTACTGACTAATAAATGAATAAATACAAGGAAAAAAATGGTAGTGTGTTTTGGTTAAGTTTTCAATCACCCAGCTTTAGCAACTGGAAGACAAGTGGAACCATGATTTAGGTTTTAAAGTTCTCTCTCTCTCTCACTACTCAAAGAAGCTTCTTAATGTTTGAATAAAGCTCTAGGTAGAAGTCTAGAAGACCCATTAATTAATTAAAGCTTGCTTTTGGAGGAAAAGAAAGAAGATTTATCTCAAGAAAGGGTTTTTGAAATATTTAAAAAAGTCATATGACGTCACATCTCACATGCAACCGAAAGTGAACGATAACTAATCGAGGGGTAGTATAGGTTTTAAAACTTTAAGGGTATTTAAGTAATTGTCCATACTTCAGGATGGGGTGCTCTGCTCGCCTTTCATCAACAGCAGAAAGCCCTAGTTTCCTACTTCCTAGTTAGTAAAAGAAAAATAAACACTCCCATTCCCCATCCTCTGTCTCAGACAAGAACCATTAATATAACCATTACAGTACGTATTAAATGCAATAATGCACATATTAATTTCTTTTTTTTTTTGAGGGCCCACTACCATATTACTTATTTTATGTACAATGCACATCCCAAATCCAAATGTGCATGATAGTCTCTCTCTCTCTCTATTGGGATTTGGGAAGGAAGAGTTGATGATGTATTGCAGTGTTTGAGCTGCACGCTTTCATTTTAAAATTTTAAACTAATGGAAGAATTGTTGAACTAGGAAAAAGGTTCTTAAGCTTCTAGAAGGATTGTTGATCAATAAAAATGTTCTAGGACTAGGAGGACTCAACCAAGTATGGAAAAAACGGTGCTTCTACAAGGAAGACAACCCTCCTCTACGTCTTCTTCAACTAGCTCCTAGCTGCTAGCCCCTCCTTTTTCTTGGCAATTAGACACCGTTTAATAACAGCTGAAGCGGCTGAATAATGAATCATTGCTTTGTCTTTTAGTGAATGTGTTGTCGACTCTCAGTTGTTTAACATCTGAAGCTGAAATGTGTTGTTTACTCAATCTTCCAATATTTTATTGTTTTTTTCTGTTAAAAACCGTTATTCAATTCTGTCATTCAGCTTAATTTGCAGTGAAAAAATTCAGTTATTTCAGCCAATGACCCAGTAATTGAGATGATTACTTGATATCACTCAAAAAAAGTAGGCGTCAGTAGACGGCTCAACCTCTTGGCTGGGTTTTAGAACATTGGGTTGAATGGAAAACTTAAGGCGCTTGGACAGAATTCTTTTCATGGGGGACTATGGAACGTGCTCAGTAATGTAATCCCAGTAGAGACATAAATGAAAATTTGTTTGCTTACATTTACAATACTATCTCTTGACTCACACATCTCTCTCTCTCTCTCTCTCTCTCTCTCTCTTTCTCTAGACCTCCTTCCAATAAACCAGGACTTTATTGGAATCTCGTCATGTCCTTACCAAGCTTGGATCAATAGCAGAAATCAATCACTTCATTCCTGTTTTGCTCCTCTTGACTCATGTAAAACCTCCTATCTTTTTTGGAAGTTAAATGCTCTAATTGAAAAGGCAAAGATGAAACCAAAGAGCACAGTAAATCCAACGACCACAACAGCAACAACTCCAATAAAATCATGTCTGAATCCAAAATAACTCCTCAAAAATTCTTCCACCGTCTCCCCTGAATCAAGCTTTTCTTCTACATCTCCGAACTGCGATGCAACCAGTCCATACAAGGTCCAGGAGACTGGGCACACCCAATAGTACCATCTCCACCATATAGGAATCCTCTGCAGTCCAACAGAAAAGAATTAGTCTTTGTTACCTCAATGGTGTGGCATAAATAAGATTAATCAGAACGTACTGGTCGTGGAACTATAAATCCAGAGAAAAGGTTCCATATGGCATAGAATGCTGTGGCAATTATTGCAGCAATGTTATGGTTGGGAGTCACGGCCACTGTCATCATCCCATAACAGGTGAAGTATAACAATGTCATGTACATGAAGAAGAGATGCCAAAAGAATTTGGCCACTGTCCATTCAAAACCAATCATGGAATACACTATAACTCCATATATTAAAGTCTGCAAGAAGATATATGGAACCTCTATCATAACCTGCACAACAAACAAGGATATTCTGTGATAAATACAAAGACAACTATGTTTTCATTTGAGAAATCTTTATTGTTAATCTCTCGATAAAAAAAAAAAAAGAAAAGAAAAGTAATTACTTGTCCGAAAGCGTATGGCAAAGCTGAATACATTCCAGCGGCTCTCTCTCTGTAAAAAACTGTTCGTTCAATGGCCACAACTGGTTGCACAGATGAGGCATTTTGTATCCCAAGGAACAAAACAGCAGCATACATAGACCCCATTGCATTAAAAAGATCTTGTTGTTTGCTCCTGCATTTTTCAACATTCAAAATAAATTCAGAAGGGATATGGAGATGAGAATGTAAGATTGGAGTTTTGGTTTATTTTCTACATTTTCCTTAAAAGAGAATTACCTTCTGGATCCAAGATCCCAGAATATAGTCCCAAACATAAGAGCTGTAAAGGTTGTGAAAAGCAGCCTTACAGCAGTGTATGGTGGGTTCCTCCAATATGAATAATGTTGTTTCCACAGACAAGCCATGCATTGGGTGAAGAAAGACTGTGAGTATCGAGTTGGGAAGTAAAGATCACTTGAACCAGGAGCAGGTGTATTTAGTTCATTGATCAGTGCTTTATTTCTCCTGAAGTATTCTCCATGGATTAGTAAGAATTAATAAGTGCAGCAATGATTTAAGTGTCAAATCAGGCATGAGGGTTAGATAATTTATAAGTGAACAAACCTATAAAGTTCAGAGCTTTTGTATACATCAGTGAAGTTGACCCCTAGAACTGTTTCCTGTGCTCTGGAAGTCACCTCCAGCATCCACGTTGCTGGATTATAGCCATCGTTTATTTTACCGACTCCTTGGATACCCTTGATGAAACAAGATTATATGGTGTAAGACTGGAAATTCTCTATGGAAAATTTATCTATCTACAGCCTTCTTTCTGCTTAATGTCTCACCTCAAAATATTTGATTAGATGACAAGAATGGCGTCCCAATGGTCCCACATATATTTCTTCTCCTCCTTGCTTCAACAGAAGTAGCTGTTTTTTCCAAACATTGAAGGCATTTATTTATAAATATTGGTTAACTCATGTATAGCCTACTGATTTTTTTTTTTTTTTTTTTGAATTAAACATGTATCACCTCATCAAAGGCATCAAATATATCAATGCTTGGCTGGTGGATTGTGCACACTACTGTTCGTCCTGTATCCACTGTATTCCTCACTGTTCTCATCACTATGGCTGCTGCCCTTGCATCAAGCCCAGAGGTTGGCTCATCCATGAATATTATAGATGGATTTGCAACGAGCTCAACTGCTATTGTTAGCCTCTTGCGCTGCTCTGTCGAGAGACCATTCACACTAGGCAAGCCAACCAGAGCTTCTCTTAGTGAGGTCAGCTCCACAAGCTCCATGACTTCCTCAACAAACATCTAGTTTCATCAATTAGATCTACCAATTATTAAAACCCCAAGTAGGCCTGAAYAAACAAACATAAGACAAGGATTAATATTTCAAATTCACCAACCTCTCTGGTGGCAGACTTGACCTCAAGGGGTAATCGAAGCCAAGCAGAATAAAGAAGGGCCTCATAGACTGTAACATGAGGAGAGTGGATGTCATTCTGTTCACAGTATCCAGATATACGAGCAAATGTTTCCTGCTTCTTTGGGTATCCTGATATAGTGATGCATCCATCAATGTATCCACAGGTTTTCCTCCCAGCCAAGACATCCATCAGAGTGGTCTTACCAGCACCACTGACACCCATAAGAGCTGTAAGGACTCCTGGCCTGAAAGATCCACTCACTCCCTTAAGAAGCTCTAGCTGATCTTCTGGAACACCTTGTGCTTTGAGTTCCTGGGTGTACAGAATTATCAAGTAATCGTTGGTATTGTCAAATAAACTAGAAAGAAAGAACCCTTCCTGTTCATAAGGCTTGATTTGGAAAGAGTACAAATACAAATATGTACAATGCAAATACAAAGTTTAGAAATGCAATTTACAAGGTTTTGTAYTGTACATATTTGTATTTGCTTTCTTCCCAAACTGAGCCTAAACAAAGTTGCCTCTGTTTTGAAGTCCTCAAATACCTGTGGCATGTCAACAGAATATCTAATTTCATCAAAGGTGATGGAAAGAGGTTGAAATGGAAGAACCATTCCCCGTTTTCTGTTCTGATTGCCATTGATAGTTTCTGTACTTGCAGGTGAAATGCCAGACGACATACTTCTCATTTCATTTCCTTCCTCTGCATCTTTATAAAATCAATAAGTTCAGACCAACAAAGTAGAAGGTATATAGAAAATCAGTAGGCTCAATCACCTGTAGATGAGGTCTGACAAACAGAGCTCTTTTCTCTGGATGATAGCTTAATAAATTCTCCGGTTCTGTTAGCCCATTTCTCATTCAAGCTTTCCTCAGATACAACTGGCTGAGGTTTTCCAAATGCTGCAATGATTTGATCCAATTATTAGCACAAGATGTATAAACATTGAAAATAAAACAATGCAACAATAGCATACTCACGATTAAGATAAGAGAGAGCCAAAGTGAAAAGAACATTGAATAGGAACATGTATCCCACCAATGCCCCCACTCCAAGCCAATACCAGTATGCTTTAGGGAAGATCCCACGAGACTTCAAGACAGTCACTCCTAGTGGCTCTGTAGAATTGGGAGGAACCTATAGCATTTATATAGAATTCATACCATAGCTAATGTCAGAGAAGGCTTCTTTTCCTTATTTTTAATTTATTTTTCTTTTTCATTTCAATTCAAGAGCAACCCACTTACATGGCTCCAGCTATTCCCAAGGAACTCATTCACTGCTATTGCATTTTGCCCATACATCATAGGGGAGATCCAATAACCCCATTTCCACCATTTCTTTACATCCTCTGCACCAAAGAATCTTAGACTATAATTGAACCTAAGAAAGTAATCCAGAAGAGAGCATAACAAAATTTCTCTATTTGAATTATCTTGTACCTCGTGATACGACAAATCCTCCCATAACCAGAATTGCAAGTAATGAGAAGGACCCAAATGTGTTTGCAACAATCATGTCCCTTCCCACTGCCCCAATAAATCGGAAAAGCCCAGAAGCCATCTGGTTAACACCAAGCAGTAGAAGATACTGTTTGAAAAGCCTGCAACAGAAACGTTCTTGGAGTTATTTTCTGATGTAATGAACAATGGTAGGTAAAGTAAAAGATGACCTTGATGAAAGGCACCATAATGTGTTTTCAATATTCTTTACCTTCCTACATTTGGATCAAAGCCTATGACGTAATAAGTCATGAACACCCAAACTGCAACTTCAAAAAACGTGTATGGGATCTTCAGGATCCATGTGGGCAGTGAATATGCCCAAGAAGGGTAGAAGAGAAGGTCTCTTTGCTTGTAAAATACAGGAAGCTTCAATATTGTCAAGGCAAGCTCTGAGTATCCGTTAAACATAATCATCATGAGAGTGAAGAAGAGTGCACCTATGTAAATCCCACCATCAATTACTGAATCTCGGTGCATCTTAATCCGTAGGAATAGTGTCATTGCAATGAATCCGAGAATTGTAAGCTGAAACCACAGATTAAAACAATGAAATCACAAATATGAGCTAGGCATTCTCAACCAAAAGTTCCTAAATCCTATTACCCACTTGTGTCATCTTGAAAATGTAGACAAAGTAATTCCTCTTCATTAGCAAGAGCTCTCTTGAGATGCAAGCTTTCAATAGTTCCTTCTTGCTAACACCGTACTTCTTAGTTGTTAAAGAAGCTGGGTGGCTCTTGGTTTTGTCAAATGGATTAGCAAGCTCATCCCCTAATTTTAAGCCAACGTGGAATGACTGGAATGCCTCTGCAAATTCTTTGACAGGGATGAACCTATAAGGCTCATCTTTGCGTGCCCAATACTGTTCCTGATCCTTCCATGATGTTACCTATCAAATGCTTGCTGATGTCAGTCCTGGCTTTTCTAAAGAATGCAATGGGAGAAGAAACATACGGGAGAAAGGTGATGGATTTTGAAGCTATACTGACTTCTTGCAGGAAGTCTGCAACTCCTTTCCTCTCAGGACATTTGAAGCCCATTGATTCAAAGAATTCCAGCACATTTTCACGGGGGCCCTGGTACACAATCTGTCCATCCGAAAGGAGAATAATGTCGTCGAAGAGTTCATAAGTCTCTGGTGCTGGCTGAAGGAGAGAGATTAGAGCAGTCCCATTAAGAATATGGATAGATTGCCTGAGTGAATTCAAAATCTGGAAAGTTGTTGAACTATCCAATCCAGTTGATATTTCATCCATGAACAATGCCCTTGCTGGCCCAACTAGCATCTCCCCTATCCATATTAATTGAGAACTTCAATTGGATTAACTCAAATCAAATTTACATGAAGAATGAAAAATGAAAAGAAATGAAAAACAAAAGGACTGTCTGGAATGTCCTACCTGTTGTAACACGCTTCTTTTGTCCGCCAGAGATTCCTCTAAACATTTCATCTCCCACAAGGGTATCAGCACAAATCTCGAGTCCCAAAATCTGCCATTTTAAGAGGGTTACGAAGGAAGATATTCAGTGTCATCTTCTATTCATGGAACCTTGTTATCCATGGATGGTTTCGTTGATACCTTTAGTATATAATCCGTGACCACACTGGCCTCCTGTCCTTCTAGTGCAGCCGCCTGCGAAAGTAACCAAAAAAGTCTCCACTTCAGGGACATCTAAGTGTAGAAACTAGTGTGCTCCTATTTCATATATTAGATTCAAGCAATTAGTTGGTCACTAATCAAAAGCAGCTCCAGTGTGTGTCAAACTATCAATTCTTGATTTCTTTGTCTTAAACATAGACCCCATGAGGCCATGACAAACCATCTCAAGGTACCTGTTTCCAAGTAGCTTCTCTTACCTTCATGTAAATATCAATGTCAGGATCAGGTTTAATATTTGTTTCCTTTTCTCTTCGTGAAAGCTCTGCCAACATTTCTGCAGATTTATCGAAAAGTTAAATCTCAGGCGCCTTGGAAATCCTTGGGCTGAATTATATAAGCCAAAACAATTCAGCTTACCATAACCGGTTCCAACCCCCTGACATCTTGCAGAAAAAGCCAAGGTTTCTCTCACAGTCATTTCCCCTATATGAAGATCATATTGACTGATGTAGGCCGCTGTCCTCTGTGGGACAAATTCATTCATTTTGTGCCCGTTGTAAGTTACTCTCCCCGAAAACTGTAATCTCAGAAGTAGAGAACCCAAATCAGTTTTTAAACCAGTAGAGTAGATGTTTGACCAAATAAATAAAGAAAAACAGCCAAGATTCAACAAAGCATGCCACAAGGAGTGATTCTTCCTTACTTTAACATCTGAACCAAGCTTTCCCGCCAGGGCCAAAAGCAATGTAGTCTTTCCTGAGCCCGGGGGGCCTAAAAGGAGCGTCATTCTGTAATTTTCACAGCAAGAAATGAGACATGAGTATCATAAGGAGTCTAATTAACTAAACAGAACCAAAGTTCAAACCAATCAAGACTCCTTACCTGCAGGGCTTGATTATTCCGCTAACATCATGAAGGATTGATAGTGGTTTCTTTCTACTTGGAAGAATATGGAGATAGTTCAAGAATTCCTGTGGTTTTATTTTTGAAGGTGACATTACCATGCAAGTATATACACAACAATACATGGTGATCAACATATTGAATGCAGTTACCCACCTCAAACATATTAACAGAGTAGTTGAAGATTGTTGGCAAAGCTCTGCTACCCACATAAGCTTCTGCATCAACATTTAAATGCTCAAAGCGGACTTCGATTTTGGGAATATCAAGTCCAACTCTGAACATAAACCAAGAAGCAGAGGAAGTAACTGGGTAAGTGTATACGAAGGACCCAGTTGGCCAACAAAGGAAAAGGAAAAGAAAAAGAAGAAGAGTCTGTAATACCTATCAATCCTGTTCTTGAGCTTCAACAAGAAATTCTCGTTATCCTCGTCTGCAATTTTCAACAACCTTTCCAATAAAACTTTCTTCTCTTGTAAACTTAGACTCTCAATATCAATTTCTTTGGTCTCACCCCCTACTCCTGACAATAGACCTTTCCTTATACGGTTATAAGTGGGCAGTTTCTCAAGAGCAGCCCATTTCAAAGCTTCTTCGTCATCTTCATGCCGAGACGATCTCTGAAACACGTCGTCGACTATACTGTTCCTCCGTATAGAAGAACTATCTATACGTAAACTACTACCGACTCTGTAAAGCTCACCACTCTCCATTCCGCTACCCAAAACTGCCCAATTCCGTGAAACCCACCAAGATGGCAAGATCCCGATAAAACCCAGAAATACAAATGTTGAAATCTTGAATTTCTGAGAGTTGAAACAACTCAAACTCAGAGAAGGAAAACAGTCATAGATGAATTGTCTGTTAGACGACAGGGAGTTAGAAAGCTATCAATGAATGCATGTGTATATATAGAAATGTCTTTAGACCACTGAGAATTGAGATATTAAAAATTCGGTAAGATGCCCACGTTAATGTCCAATTTGCGGACTTCATTGGCTTAAAAAAAATCAGTTTTGCAGTTGTTTTGTAATAAAATAATAATACGTCCTTGTACTGAAAATCAAAATAAATTTATTTTTTCTAAGACTTTTGTACTTAAAATTGGTAATAAAATTTGGGGTTATAGTTGATAAGGGCAACTTTGAGTCCTAATATCAATAAAAATAGTTTTTCTAATATAATTTTTAAAATAGGTTAACTTTTTTAAAAATATATCAAATAAGGGCAAAAATATTATTCATCTTATTTTCCCTCCAAACCATCTCTCTCAAAATTAATAAATATTGATCATAGATCTCTACTCTGTTTTTCACCCTTGTAAAAAGAAATATTGAACATCCATAAGTTTTGATTCACACTTTCACATGCCTCGTATGCCATACTGGTCCCCCTGATTGGAAAACTCGAACTAACAGCATGCCCATCTTCAACACCTCCTTCAAACAACCAGTTATACACGTCCCAGGACACCTGAATCGGGACCCCATCAACTTCAATCCTCTCATTTTCCCTGAAGTTCCATTTGAATTGCTTAATCTGCAATACCCTTTTCCGATCGACACTTAAACAAAGCCTGGGTTCATCGTCACTCACGTTGCAATCAATCGAGATGTCTCTGGTCTTGCCGGAGGTGGGCGGAGGCAGCGGTAATGGTGCTGGTGGATGGTGGTCATTGAGGTTTGAGGGGCTGGGGCGGAAGCAAGATGGGAAAGAGCTAGAGTAATCAGATTTATTCGATGGTTTGGAGGAGGAAGAAGATAATCAGTGTTTTTGCCTTTATTTGATATATTTTTAAAAAGTTAACCTATTTTAAAAATTATATTAAAATGACTATTTTTATTGATATTAGGGCCCAAAAGTTGCCCTTATCAGCTATAACCCCATAAGATTTAGGGAAAATTCCCGATCAGTACCCTATACTTTGGCTCGAGTGACAATTTGGTCCCCAAACTTTAAAATGTGACAATCCAGTACTAAAACTTTCAAAATGCGACAATCTAGTACCTGAACTTTCAAAAGGTGACAATCCAGTACCAATTGCTAACTAGTCTGTTAATCAGCCATTAAATGACATTTGAAAAGTCAAAATGCCCTAAGAATGCCATCTAATTCTTTTTACCAACCATCCAAATGTTGACAAAAAACTGAATAGTCCCAAATCCTAGCCTCTTTTATTCAAAAAAGTTGGTGATTGTTTAGAAAAATCTAGAATTTGGGAATGTTCATTTTATTGTCAATGTTTGGATGGTTGATAAAGAGAATTAGATGGCATTCGTAGGGCATTTTTGACTTTTCAAAGGTCACTTAACAACTGATTAACAAACTAGTTAACGGCAAGTACTGGATTGTCACTTTTGAAAGTTTGGGGATCAAATTGTCACTCGAGCCAAAGTACAGGGTACTGATCAGGAATTTTCCCTAAAATTTACTTCTTGATAAGTTGGTAAAAAAAAGGGTAAATTTCTTAAACTACACCTACTGTTTAGCTAATTGACTAAGTGTACCCTTATTGTTTGAAAATTGACTAACACTACCCCTACTGTTTCTAACAATTGACTAATACTTTCCTTACCATTAGCTCTCGTTAATAGAAAGATGAAAAGGACTATTTTACCCCTACTATTTCTGAGAACCAACGAATGAACCGCCACACCCTTCATCCTCTTTCTTCTTCAACAACGGAGTGCTCTGTTGAAAAAGCAGAGAATGAGTGAACTGAATAGGGGCAGCGGCGGCAACCCCTTTTGAACCCATCTCTCTTTCTCTATCTTCTTCTTCTGGATGACGGCAACGACAGCGACAACCCCCTATGAAACCCCTCTCTCTTTCTCTCTCTTCTTCCTTTGGGCGACGGCGATGGTAGTGGCAACCCCTTGTGAAACCCCTCTCTCTTTCTCTCTCTCTTCTTCCTCTAGGCRACGGYGATGGCAGCGGCAACCCCCTTTGAAACCCCTCTCTCTTTCTCTCTCTTCTTCCTTTGGGTAGCGGCACTCCATGTTCAGATCCGCCGCTGTAATGAATTGCATTGATTGCAGCAGTGGCGGCGATGACCCTTCTTCGAACAAAAACAGAGGTGAACCAGCGGTGATGAGCGGCAGTGAACCAGCGGGACCCCTCTGCCCATTCTCTCCCATTTCTCTCTCTCTCTCTCTCTGTCCATTCCTCTTTTTCCTCTTCTTCAGATCCCAATAAATCATCCGAAATATCGTCGATCTTTGCTCAAACCAGAAATAGCAATGGCAATTTTCTCTCTGATCTCTCTTCTTTTGTTACACTTCCTCTTCTTTTTTTTCTTCTCATTCTTCTCTCCTCTACGTCCTCTCTCTCATTTTACTGTTGCATCATCACCGTCGCCGCTGCAACTCATCTGAACACAGGGGAGCATACGAGAAGAGCAGTTTTCATTAGGACATTGAGACCAAAGACAAGGGTAGCGACTGGCAGAGCATGCACATGATAATGATAAGAGTGGTTTTCAGTTGGACACTAAGACCAAAGACGAGCAGTGACTGTTGAGCAGAATGTTGAGCAATTGTAGTACAAATCCGCACTGTTCATCTTTTTAATATGACGAAAACAGGGGCGGCGATTGCAAGTTCTCTCTCTGATCTCTTCTCTCTATTCTCTCTCTTCCTCTCTTTCTCTCATTTCACGTCTTTTTCTTCTTCCAGAGAAAGAAGGGGAGAGAGAGACTAGAGGTGGAGGGGGAGGTTTGAGAGAGAACTAGAGGCGGAAGGGGTGGTCTAAGAATAGAGAGAGAGAGAGGGGTTCATGGGATGAGGGTAATATTGGGTTTTGAAAAAATTTTATAAGTCACGTAGGGTTACATGTGCAGAGATCATAACGGAGCATTAACGAATGTTAACGACATGGGTATAATTAGTCAATTGTCAAAAACAGTAAGGGTAGTGTCAGTCAATTTTCAAACAGTAAAAATACACTTAGTCAATTAACTAAACCATAAATGTAGTTTAAGAAATTTACCTTAAAAAAATTAGTTAAAAACAAAAATAATCTTTTTACACCCAAAGTTGATAAAAAATATAGACTGCATGAATCTAAGCACAGCAAGGCTTCAAGTTGAAACGCACAAAAATGCATCGAACTCCACTACTTTTGCTTCTCAAAATTAATAATCGATTCATGAAGGATCTTTTAATTTTTCTAGTGGGATTCCAACATTTAATACTTAATTTATTCTTGGAGTAACTTTTAGCTTTCCTTTTATCCACGTGAGGGGGGTTTTGCGGATGAAAACAAAAAGCAACAGAAATCAAGTTGAACCCAACTGCCACAAGTAATTAATAACTCCATGCAATTCTTTGCGTTGAATTATTTAGGCTAGCTTATTTGGGTTATTGGGTAACTTAATGAGGAACGGAAAAGACTTCGATTAAAACCCCATGCTCAGATATTCGGATCGGTCATCAACCCAAAAAAATAAAAGGGAAAGGTTAAACGGGTCAGAGGATCAATTTGGGTCGAAACGGATGTAGAACCGTAATGATGCAATATATATAAATTAAATATATTATATTTAGATTATAATATATTTAAAATATATAATTATATTTTATTATAACAAATACTTTTTATTTTAGTTTCAATTTTGTATATTAAAAATTAAGATTTAAGGAAAAAAAAAACATTTTTTGGTAAAAACAGTGGAACAAGGCACCTTCGACACCTTGGGAACATGTAAAAGTTTGCAGTTTTGTGCTAAAAATTTTTCAAAACTAGATTCACCGATTTTCTTGTTTGATCAATCAGGTTGGCGGTTTTGGCCGATTTTTTACCCAATCTGGTTTTGGGGGTATAACCAAACCGGCCAGAGGTCAGTCACGGTTCAACCAGTCCAACCAGTCACTCCGGTCCAGCTTTCTGTTAAAACCGTCTTAAGTATTATGTGTTTGTTTGGTTTATAGGAATAGGGGTTTGGAATCAGAATCAGAATCGGCCGTTCCCCATTTGAAAGAATGGTTATTCTCCCCTCTCTCTCTCGGGAATGACATTCCATTCCAATCAAAAGGATACTAAAGTAGATTAAGATTTAAGAATGCTTTTCAAGGATTTCCATTCCTGTTTATGTTTCTAGAAAAAAACTAAAAAAAGAATTCCAACATGGAAAAAGGTTTATAAATCATATATAATTATGGTACTAAATATTGGATTTCTATGCATTATTGCATTTTAGTTCACATGGTCACAGCTGTAAGGTTTGCGACACCTAATTTTTTTTTAATAAAAAACCTCACACCATCTGGACTAAAATGCAATAATATATGCCTTGAATTATAACATTTATTTCGCATTATTTACTAAGCATGTCCAGTGCTTCTTGGTAAAAGGGACACCCCATTTATTTTATTAAAATGGGAAATTATCTAAAACCTAACTCACTTTATTGATAATGTCTGACTTCTTCAACATCGTTCAAAGTATCATACGTCTTTGTGTTTTAAATCATGTATTTTTTAAATTTCATTTATATATATATATATATATATATATCATTTAATAAATAATATAAATGAGTTCCTGAAAATATTTTTAAATAAGTAAATTGGAATCCTGTCGATATAACATGATATGCCCGATACGAGATGCATCGATCAATATTTTTAACCTTGGTTCTCAATATACAGCTGCAAGGGCTGTGAGGACCAATTTTGTCATTTGAAAATTACATTTATGTATGATATATAAAACGTTCTAATGGGTAGGGCTGTTCATAAGAAGGCCCAACCCAACCAACCCGAACCGACCCAACCCGAGTCGGCTGGGTTTTCATCAGCACTGGTCGGTTTTGGGTTGGGCAAAATCATAAGCCAATCCGAACCAAACCGAACCAATTA